TGTTTCGCTTGAGGCTGAATTACATGACTAAGAACCCCTCTATCTCAAAATATATGCATGACATCCTCTCACAGGCTCCTTAAATCTATGGTTAAGAGGGAATGCAGTAAGGGCTGTGTTGTGAATTAAAACATGTATACCTGTACTGAATGAAATGCCACATAGTGTACCTCTTCAACAGCAAGCTCTATTGAAAATCATTTGTGATGCTACATATGTAGAATGTTCCTAATTGGTCACTAACGATGTTACATTTCATTTAAGATGCTATGTAGGCAGCTCACTAGGTATTGGAAGAACCATTAGTTAATTCAGTTTTCTTTACTTAAAGGGATAGTTCACCCTTGAAGTTCTTCAAACCTATATGAGTGTCTCTATTTTGTTGAACACCAAAGAAGATATTTTGAAGAACGTTGGTCTGTGCTGCTGGCATTTTTTTTTTCTTGTTGTAAGCCTAAATTTAGTTTGCTTTAAAAAGTCCTGATGCAATTTTTTGCTCATCAAGTAAACATATCTTTTTTTTAAGGATGTTTGGATATTTTTTGCAGTGTATGCATAACAAAACTAATGAAAAGAGAAGAAGCAATGGATATTTTGTGATTTATTGCAAACACTAACACAAAGGAGCTAAGCATTTCATCAGTTCAGTCTGTGGGACTTTGACATTGGCCTCTAGGGGTTTATATTGTTTTATCAGCTAATTTTTCTTTATCTATCCACCAGGACCTGTGTGCAAGTCAGCATCCCCTAAACTGGAGCGTGAGGAGCCCAAGTCTGAGAAACTGCTGGATAAGGCCAGCGAGAGCGGAGCCTCGTTGAACGAGCTCTCCACATCCAGCTCCGAGACCCACTCAGAGGCCACGTCTCCCCAGGACGGGGGTCCCATCCTGGTGTCACGCGGTGAGGTTGTTGGGGGCTCGCTGGCTCCGTGTGGCGCCTTGCACTCTGTATCTCGACCTCCGAGCACTCTTACTCTGGGTCGACCGCCCAAGAAAGGTTCTTCGGTGCAGTGGATGGAGCTGCCGGATAAGAGGCGGAACAGTGAGCTGTTCCAGTCCCTCACTAGTGGGGTTGGTCCGCGGGATGGTGGGGGAAGCGGTCTGACCCGGAGGAAGACTCTGGAGAGGCCCAGCATGGAGGAGGAAATGAAACAGTGTATCCGAGATTTCCGAAAGATCAAGATCCCTCCGGCGTTCCCAGAGCGCAAACGGCAGTGGCAGTCAGAACTGCTTCAGAAATACGGCCTATAAAGAAAACTCAGGATAGGCAACTGGTTTAAACTATCCAACCGATTCACAATCTTGCACAATAGATTGCCCAACAGACTTTAAAGCCCTCAAAGGCCTTGATTCACACTGAGAAACCAAACAACTGAGTATCAGAAAAGAGAAAGAAAGAACTTGAGCCAATGAAACATGTTCCACTTTGCTCCGTTTTTGTTCAGATTGATAGCACCATTCATATCTTTGAACTAGACTACCAAAACCTACCAAAGTGGTGGTGGAGAATGTTTCAATGAAAAGCCATTCCATCCAGAGTCACCTAAATAAACCTTTCAGTTGTCCAGAAGGTCTGCAAATAGGGCTCATAGTATACAGTATCTCTATAAACTATTAAACTGACAGGCAGCCTGGCTATCTTTGGTGATGTTGCCAAAGATAAGTGGGAGAAGAAGTAAATCCTTGTTGTGCCCAAAAGAGAGGTGTCACTGTGCATTAACTAATTGTTCAGTTTGGTTCTATACAAATGACACAGATTTAATGTAAACACGGTTGTCTTTATCAAACTTAGTTTCGGAGATGAATTTAGTTGTAGATTAAATGGTATGTCTTTTGCGTACATATATTAGGGCTACCAAACAATTTAAAATGTTCATCAAATTAGTGGTCGACCGATATTGGTTTTTTGACAGCCGATGCCGATATCTTGGAAAGCAGGGTGGCCGGTGGCCGATATAAAGCCGATATAATTTTATTTATTTATTTAATATTTAAGATATTTGAAATCATTTGAAAATGGATTAAAAAATAAATGTGTAAAATAAACATGCTTATACTTTAAATGACAAAGTATTTTTCACAAATAAATAAATATATAATAAAAATATGAATATGACACTGGGCAAAAGCATGAAGCGGAGCATAATTTGAAATCACGAGTTTAATGTTTGTCGATCGCGCATCTCAGTGAAGCTGAACTCTCCACCTGTCCGCATTCAATTCACACGGACCGACCGTCACGCAGAGAACACGCAATCATGCAGGATACAAATGCACACTTCATAAGATCTCACTGCTGGATTCGACTAAGTTTGCAAGGTTTTTGAAATTAGATGTTCATTAGTCATTCAAAGATTTGTTTAAATTATATAAATGCGTATTTGCTGAATGCTGACAGCAAATGAGAAAGTATTATAATGTTTGCCTTTCTATTACTAACAATATAAAAGCAGTCGTTATAATACTTTTTTGTATACATTTTAATTCCTTTGTTTAACAGTTCTATCTGATTATTAGACAGACTTCTGTCCATGGACAGAACTGTTAACGAGGACAGCGAACAAGAGGGATAATGTGAGCACTGTGTGTTCATTCTCAGCGCCATCAAAATAAAAGTCCCGCCACGAACGCATCGGCCAATGCCGATATTTGAAAAATGGCAAATATCAGACGATATATCGGTCTTGGCGATATATCGGTCGAGCACTACATCAAATTGCAATTAATCACATATATATCAGCATTTGCTAAAAAAAACATTTTTCAGTCAAGTCTATCAGTCCTGGGCTGTTCACATAGGACACTTCCATATACACCATTGCTTAATTTTTGGTTTATGTTCACAAGCTGTATGGATGTCTTTGGACGTTGCATCATTTCTTGTGTCATATCTGTTTTTTCATTATGTGTCACATTCAAAACTGTTTTAAGTCTTGTGCCACATTAATTGTGTTCATTTATTGGAATAAATTATACTATATAGATGTTAAACTGACAGCCCTAATATAATTCTATACAATATATTTAAATATATAAACATACAGCTGTATATTTGCTGAGAATCATCAAGCTAGAATTGGAAAGTACGATGAATGAGTTGCACATAATCTAAAATCCTAACTGGAATATAAGAGGATATAGGGATTTTATATTAGCAGCGTAAAATGAGGACAGATATATAATATAATGAATAAATTATCTTCTCATTCCATCCCTTTAAATGACCTAATTATTGCATTTATATGATGGGCTACTATGAACATCATCTCCACACTGGTTCTTCCCTGTGTGAGGTTTCTCTGACTGATGCCTAGAAATTGTCCATTGTCTTTTGCTATGAATTTTTGTTTTGTGCCATTCATTTTCTAAAGTGTTTGATTGTGTGTGTGTGTGCTTCTGTCCATATGTGTGCGCATACTTTTCTTAATGTAAATTTCTAAAGAGCCATTTGTAAAAGAAATTTGGATTTGGAATCACAAAAAATAAGGAAAACCAGGAAGTGTGTTGCTACAAATTATTCATATTAAGCCTATTGTTGGTTCCAGAGCTGGATTATGGAGAAGGCCTGGAGTTGACCTCCAAAGATGCATGCCCACGGTTGGTTCCCTTACAGTTGGTCTCAGTGCGAAACCTTAATGTGAAATCATCTTTAAGAATTGATCTTTTTGAGACAGATTAATCTAAGTTTGAGCCTAGCAAGATTTATTTTTAAATGAAAATAGCTATGGCGTTGAGCCAGTAGCTTAATCCACATGCTGAAAATGGTTCCAAGATATTGTTTATAGCAGTGCGTCATTCCAGACTCGGGGAATGATCTTTCCATCTGCCGTAGGCGGCATATCAAATGTCAGTGAGCATTCACAGTGCATTTCCATCTCCATAAAGACTTGTGTTTGAGAGATATTAGGTGATTGCCCTCTAATCGATGTGTATGGTGTTCTGCGCACGTTTAAAGCACAACATTCTGTAAATGCCGGTTTGAGATATGATATGGTCTCAATCCAGGACACAGGTTTGAAAAGCACAAGGCACAGTTGACTCTGTTATCCTAGAATAATAATATTTAATGGGTTTAAATCAGGACTTAGTGTTAGTCTACTGTGAAACCTGAAATGCTCCAGAATTTGTGAAGACATTTGTTGTTATATCTGTTGATTTGCTCAGTGTCCTGTAATAAAAGTGTCATGTTATGATGGGCAATTGAATGTGTGTTTTGTCCACCTTATTTCATTTAGAGTGATATTTTTTTGGATATTTTTTTTTTTTTAATCTCATAATTTACTACAATATTCACCTTCCAGCACTTTTATTCTTTTTGTACTCAAGAAAAGGTCAATACCAGCCTTTTTCAGACATCACATAAACATTACAAATCAGTTTTTTTTTTAGAAAACAAAACATATCCCTGCATTTCATCCTCGTAGAAGTCATTTTGGGCTTGTTTTTCATTAAGGCGGTTGCATTTAATGGCCTTTTTCCAGAATAGTCAGACATTTTGGCTTGCTAGCTTGGCAGCTGTCAAACCTCCACCCTATACATAATGTAAAGTTTGTTTCTCATTTCATCCCGTGTTTCTGCCTTTTCCAGAGCCTCCCCACTTGAATGGTGCATAAATGCATGCTTTTTCCATTCCTGAGAGGGATTTATTTATTGATTTAGAGGTGTCTATGTTTTGTAACATTTTGTTTTTATTTTAAAAGAATGGCATTTTTGAAAATACGTCCTCTGCAGGAAGTTATAGTTTAGCTTTGTTTACTGTGTTTTTGCACTTTTTCCAGTCCATAAACAAATAAACATAAAAATGTTGCTTATTTATGTAAGGAAAGTCACTTATCTTGACTATTATTTATTATGTTTTCTTGGCAACATTGTGATGGTAAGAAGTTGTTAAAATACATATCTTTTGTAAGTTTAAAGCTGTGCCCTCACATTTCAACACAGTCAGATATTATTGAAAACTTTTATAAAAGCAGGCAATATCAAGGGCAGCCGTGATCCTGAAGGTCCTCTTTCCAACCTAACCTCCAACAAGGCCACACATCCTCTGGTGAGTTTTGTAGGCTTTGGTTGTTGTTGTTTTTTTTAATAATTTTAAACATTTGTGCTTGCTTATATTTTCTGTCACAACTGTATGTCAGCTTTGTCACCCAAAGTGTAATGAAATAGTTTGAGATGTTTTCTCAATTATATCTTAAAAGGATAGTTCACCCAAAAATGAAAATTACCCCATGATTTACTCACCCTCAAGGCATCCTAGGTGAATATGACTTTATTCTTTCAGACGAATACAATCAGAGTTATATTTTAAAAAATGTCCTGGCTCTTCCAAGCTTTATAATGGCAGTAAATGGCAGTTTATTGGACGCTACGCCTACGTCATCCGCTGGAAGGTGACTCTCTCATGAACGCGCCTATGACAGTAAGCGGAAATTAGAGATTATGGTTTATAAAGTTTTAAATATCTATTTTTTTCTTACACAAACCCATCAATTTGCTTCAGGAGGCCAGGAGCTGCGTGGAGCACTTTTTATGATGGATTGACGCAGTTTATTGGACTTTTATTGGACTATTGAATATTACCACTCGTTCACCCATGCCATGTGGAGTACTTTATATGATAGATGGATACACTTTAGTTTGCTTCAAAATGTCGACCCCCATTCACTGCCATTATAAGGCTTGGAAGAGCCAGGACATTTTATAATATAACTCCAAAATTATTCATCTGAAAGAAGAAAGTCATATACACCTAGGATGGCTTGAGGGTGAGTAAATCATGGGGTAATTTTCATTTTTGGGTGAACTATCCCTTTAAAGCTAGATGTGTCAGTGTTTATATATTGTATTTGATAGAGTTAACACACTGAATTGTAAGGAGGTAAGGAGGAACAGATCAATCCAGTCTGCAGTCAGTTTGGACCAGCTAGAAACCAGCTGCCAACTTCCAAAACACCTTAAGCTTCCAGCAGAGATTCCTTCAACAAAGACTTCATGGCATTTCACCTGTCTCAGATGGCTGGTAAGTCCTCAAGAGCATAATTATTCTGAGAAGAAGCAGACAATTTTATTATTCATATGAGTGGAGACTTCATTTAGGTTGAGTCTTAACTTTATCATCCGAGGCTTTTCTCTTCAGCTCGGTCTAATCATTTCAGACATCTGAATTGATGCTTGTCATAGAGGCGAGGATAGTTTTAGTCATGTAATCAGTCAGGCAGATCTCACAGTTTATTCATAACTCTCAAAATGACGTCTGTCATATATTTGGAATACAGTATGTAATCAGTGATTTACTGTGAGTCATCGTCCTTGTCATTTCTGAAGCTCATTCCTGGAGGTGTTTCTGCAGATCGGTTTGACTTTCTGTCCAAAAAAAAAAAGCTACAAAACTGTGCAATTTTGCCATGTATAAGTCATATGCAGATGGGTAGTTGATGTGAAGATTTTTACAGGTTAGTAGGGCTGTCAAAAAACAAATTTGAATTTCGAATATTCGTCGAATTTAAAATAAAAATCCACATTCGAATGCAAAAACGTTGTATTCGAATTTTAGTTGTGCGTTAAGGAGGCAGCCTTATCAGTGGCGCATGAGATGTGATGACGATGTATGTGTCGTTGCATTATAATGTTTTTGTTAGCCCATCCAGTTGAAGCCACTAGATATGGCGCTGCTGTGTTGTTCATTAAAAATATTGCGGAAAAAGAGAACATCAATGCGGAGAAGATCTTGTTTACATCAAAACTGAAACCAAGTCGTTCACACAGAACACATATTTCGCACATTTTCTAGAAGAACATCTATCATCGTTGCACTCGCATGTCGCACAAAGGAGCCACACGTTTAGAAAGCCATGTAAAATTAATGCAAGTTTAACTTAGAAAAAAACATATATCGAGACTTTATGGCGTTTTTTTTCCCATCCCACTGCATCCAACTCATGTTTTTAAATGAAAAATGTACTCTGTGCTTGGCTTTCCGCCCTTTGTATTAAAATATGCATACGTACATGATGCTGTTTTGTTTTATAGTTGTTTAAGCAACTTAATTAA